TGATCATTATTATTATAATATTACACAGCGCATTCCTTCATAAAAACAAATATAATTTACAACGAATTCTTTGANAATAAGTGTTTGCATCTCTGCCTGTAGTACCAAGTACTCTCTAGAGTACTCTCTCTCTATCGAGTACTCTCTAGTACCAAGTACTCTCTATGTTCTCTTACATAGTCAATGAATAATGATTGTTTTCATTTGCGAGCTCAGTTTTAAAATTTCATCGTGTTTGGTGCGGTTGGGTTGGGCGTGGGTGTGGGTGGGTGCGGCGTAGTGTCGGTGTGGCGTTCATTTGATATCGTTTTATTTTACGGAAGAATATACGATTGCAGTTTAGTGGGACGGGGTTTGGTATTTATTTGAGGGATTGATTGGTGTTATTATTTTTTGATGTGGTGTGGGGAATGGTTTATTATTTTAATGTGAGGACACGATTTGCTTGGATTATTTTGTTTGATTTGTTAGGTATTAGGTAATTGAAGATTGAATTGTGTTGAAGTAGATTGGTAATTAGATTGGCTCACTCATAATATTCTGCATCTAGGCTGCGTTGTGTTCTGGACCGTGCGTGGCTCAATCGAGTTTCAAACCAACTCAATCAGCCAGATAACATTTATTTATTTGAATTTTCAGAGTTACCCAAATCGATAGATAATACTTTATACAAAAACAGAGTAGTGATCATTATTATTATAATATTACACAGCGCATTCCTTCATAAAAACAAATATAATTTACAACGAATTCTTTGATTCTGACATTAATAAATAATCAGCTGAAGATAAGAATATTAGCAATTACTTGATCACCATAACAAGTCAAATTTACAATTACATATGCCCATAAGATTATCTTTAAGCATGCTGCCATAACCGCCTTGGCTCTAGAACAATTCCTGTGGGGAAAGTTGATGATATACCCGGGCATATCAGCTTTGCCCGTAAAAATTATTGCAGCGTCGTCAGTCTCGTCGAGCGATTGCTGCTTCATCGGGAATGCGGCGGTAGTGGTTTGGGTTTTGGCCGTTTCGATGGCCACTTTACAGTCAGCTGAAACAAACCGAAAATGAGGAGATCGGTAAGGAATACATTTTGCCTTCTTGTTAACAAGAGGAGTGATATCCCAAGTGATATTCACTCAACTAAGAATTACGAATTCGTTAAAATTTAAAATAATTTAAATATTTTAAAAAATATTTTAAAAAACTGCCAACTGAACATTCATTTGGTGATGAGTGACTTACCCTCGCGTTCCAGAACAATCGTCTTATCGCTATTCAACGTGAAGTTATAATTGCGTTTACAGTGCACACCGCTTGTCGAAACGTAGAGTAAACCTTTGTGTTGACGGGTTACCTTGAAATGAGATGTGAAACGGAAACAATTTTCATTTTCAGGCAAAAATCTCGGGAAATGGAAACAATTTCGGTGATAATACGGCTTGATTATGCTGCTCACAGCTAGCAGCAGCAGCTCAGCTGCGACAGCAGGGATTACGACACGATGGAATAATAAGGCAAAATGAAGCAGCCAGCAGCCGCCGACTCGGACTCACGAAGCAGACGTTATTCTCGTTGTTGTGTCCGAGACGTTGCGTATAGACGAATAGATATCCGTGTTCACTCCACGATCCCAGGCAGGTGTATCGACGGGCTGAAAGTAGCGACGGTATGTTGATGGTAAATCGACTGGAGCATGCAATATCCATTTTTGGTATGTTTTGTTTTGTTTTTTGAGCTTTCGTGAATGATTTGTTAGAATGAATTTTTTTGTTTGTTTGTTTGTTTTGTGATGAACACACTGCCTCAAGAAATTGGTGTGTTTGATCACAATTTGATCACAAATCAAATCGATATCGTATCGTGTCGTGTCGGCATTATCGTAAGAACGATCATAAGATGATCTTCAGTTTAGATAATCTTCACTAGTCAGGATGTTTGGTCTGGAATGTAGAAGGTGTGCGCGACATGGATTAACGTGGGGATTGGAGACAGGTGGGTGCGAAGGTAATCAAAATCAGTTCGAGCTTCGGTCTTGAGCTCATCTTCACCACATCAGGTAATCTGCAAAAAAAGCTATTTAAAGACTAGAACACGGCATCTAACTTTCGAAAACGGCATTCGTCTCGCAGTTGAATGCCACCACGTTTAGTGAATGCTGTTGTTGCTGTTGAAGCTGGCTGGTGCAGTCGGCGGTCGTAAGACGATAACACGTGCTTTGGCCACTATCACCACCAGCAGCACTACGTTGGCGGTAGACTTGCGGGGTGACGTACGAGCCCGCATCCAGACCGCACGCCACCGCATCGGGTTGCTCGGCCACTAGAGCCGTCCACGGAGACGACTCTAGCTCGAGCTCAAAGGCGCTCTCGTCTCTGCAAATGATAAAAGATAGAGAATCTCAAGCCATCTGTCAAGTTCATCGGGTCGGCTGTCAATATCAATTTGATCCAGGTATATTGATATTGACAGCCGACCTGATGAACTGGATTGGCAAGCAGCAGCAACCGGCTGTCATCAAACGCCTAAACCCGGCTGGCTGCATAGGCGAGCAGCAGGCCAATCAATCAAGCGAATAAAACCGAGTAATTAATCAGTCAATATCAATCGATATGAATACAAACCCGCACAAGTCTCCCGTATCGTCGTCCCGTCGTTGAGTTGTCTTCAACTCGAGCAGCGAGTCGCTTCTCGATCTGAACCACAAGCAATGGAAACCGACGAAATCACCACTGAAAACGGTAACTTTTTCTGTTTCTCACTCAAAATTGCCTTAGAAAATTTTTCTGCTAAAAATTTTTCTCAAGTGATCACGATGATTTCTTTTGATTTTGATCTTTTCGATGATTTTTTTCTTAAACTCTACTGATCACGATTAAACTAAAAACACATCTAAATAGTTTACATTCACCATTTAGATTCAGTGAACACCGCGATACGTTCAAGACCATCCAAGGCCAGGCAATACGACACGGTTGGTGTGGTTGAGGTGCTCGCATCGGAGTATGCGAATGCCCGCTCGCTGATTCTGACGGCACCACCCTGATAAGCACCCTGAAGCCATTCCGGGAACGTGCACGCTGCCACCCAGTTCTCGTCGTGACCACTTTCTCCTAAAAACAAGTAAGCATTCCGGCGTGCCATTCGCAAACGGTATCGTATCATACTCAATAATAAAAACTCCTATTACTTCTAGTGAAAGTGTACTGTTCAGCTGCGGCTGCGGTATTCGAATTCGAGCCGCTCAACCCATCGCAATTGGCATCTTTCGACAGATATAACGTCGTCGTCGTCTTCTCGGCTGATCGGCCACTCTCGACGAGGATCTAGAACGACGACACGCAAATCAACGGTCCGCTTATCCGGTGCGATTATCCGATTATCCGATTGTAAGCAACGATTCGGATTGGATTCAATTCGATTCGACTGTCAGGTAAACAATTAACTCACTCCACATTTCACTTGCTCATTATCATTGTCCTGAATTGCTATGAAGGATTCCACAGCGGCAGCAGCAGCACGATCGTTAGCGGCGTGCCATAGCCCAATGCATGTGAACGTTAAATCTGCAATCAACACAACCTATTTTAGTGACTGAAAAGGAAATGGGACGGATTCAAAAACTGATCAGAAATGATCAGTGATCAACAAGTGATCAACATTTACGTACCAAAATCCGGGAATGTGCAGTTACGGAAGTGGAACTTCATTTGCGATACACTTTCGCAGTTACTCATCTGAAAACACATCGTCGTAAAGAAACGGAAGAAAGGATTCGATTCGAACAAGAAGCGGCAGAAATGAAATCAGATTCAAACTCAGCAAGTGGACAAAGCAGAGGAGGCAAGGCAAGGCAAGTGAATTGAGTAAATTACCGATGAGCCAGGCTCCTGGCACGATATCGTAGAATCAGCAGTCTTCTTGAATTGCAAATCATAAACACCTTCTAGGCCACAGCTGGCTGCCGCCACATTCTCGACTCCTTCAACAGAGAAATGAAATTAGGTCACAGCTGGCTGGCTGGCTGGCTTGGTGGCTTACAGTTTATTTCTGACAATTGTGAGAAAATAATGATAACTTTTGAACTATTGAAAGGTAGTATGTGATCGATAAGTGATCAAGAAATCAGTGATCAAGATCACTTACTGTACAAAAAGGTTCCTTGTGAGGCGCTGATTGCTTCGGAATCAAAGCAGGTTTTACGAGCCTCATCAATACTTCGTCTGCATGGATTACCTGCAAAGTATGCACCACCTGACCTCAATGGATTGACAAAGGTAAAACTTTACCGAGATCAATTCAACTGGTAAAACTTTTTAACCTTTTTTTACCTAAACTTTTTTACCTTGGTAAAACTTTACCACTAAGACCAAAATTTAAGAACTGACCCGTCTGATGTGCAGCCTGAATGATATTTGCAGCTCTCAAGACCAGCGTAACGCACCGATAGCAGTAAGCCTCCCCGATTCGCCTAAAACCTCAGGTCAGTGAGCTGCCGTAAGCACTGACGACCAGTCTGTAATATTCAAACAAAGCAATCACAAACACTTACTTCATCCCAAAAATAAACGAGTCATCACCAACACTCTCGTAACAATTGCCCCACGAAGATACTGCCGATGAGCTGATGGTCAACTGAAATTTCGGAATGGATATTTCAACATATGGCTCATATGAAGAACAAAGGCCGTGATAATCACTACTATTACCTTATCATAGGTAATCAACTGCTCCACTCCATCTTGCACTGGTGCAGGTAAGGTGTTCGAATTATCCGCTTGCTTCATGAAGACACCTCGTAAAGAGCTATCGATTTGGCACATTACGTTGCCGTTTCCGTTTGCGTTTGCGATTGCTGCAAAAAAATAGAATTTGATGAGTGTAAATTGAAACCAAACCAAACCAGACCAGTAACACTTACTCACCTTTCGTTGAGCTTAATATTAGAATGAGCATTTGCACAGCAGCCATTAGCCTTAATGTGATGCCATCGAACTGTTGCATAATCAAAGCCAGCAGCAACAGCAGCAGAATATCTGAGAACTTGATTTGTCTCGATCCGATCCGATCCGATCACTTCCGATCACTGCTCACCTATCACTCGGATCACTCCCGATCACTCCGATCACCGCTCACCTATCTGTCACTCAAATGTCCACCGAAATATTCCCATTTTAAGGAGTACCTAAGAGGAAATCAAAATCATTGACTTCGATTTTGATTTCACTACTGTCTGTCGTTTTTGATTTCTGTATGATCACCATTGTAATGTAGTGTACAAATAAGAAAGCACTACATTACAATGGTGATGATACAGAAGGACACGAAACGAAGTATCACAGCAGCAGGTATTATATTCGTTCTTAAAAGGTAGTTATTTACCTTTATTGAGTTACTGTTTTACAGTTTTATTGTTATGTAAACATAAATTGTAGTAGTCATTTGACTGAGTTTATTTCGAGTACTTTTTCTTTATAGAATAAGTGAACTTATTCATTTTAATTGTCAGCAAATGTAACTTATTACTTTGACTTATAACTTCAAATATTACTTTATAACTTTAAAAGTATAACTTTATAGCTTTAAAATATAACTTTATAACTTTTGACTAATTGTAAGAATAATGTAAAATTATTCTCTCTGTGTGCAAAAACTATTTCTAGAGGCAGTTTCGAAGCAACGCATTATTCACTGTTCAATTTGCATACGCATTTGGATTATGCTGAAGCTGCTGTGGTGAGATTATAAATTGAGCTGGTTGATGAATTGTAATCATTTCGTATTACAGTTGGTATTGTAGAGCGGGTGGGTTCAACAATACAAACGGATATAGCGCTGTATCGGATTTGGTGCTGCAAGAGGTGCTGTCATCTATCGATAAGATTCTGAAATCAATCCGAAAGAAATAAAATGGCACCCACAGCTGGCAAAGGAAAGGTAAGTGAGTTAGTCGAATTGCATTCCTTATCAGTTACTTTTTAAATTCAATTTCAAGCGCTAACAGGAGGGAGTTTCCATCGAGGACGACGGGCTGGTTTTGGGATGGATAGTTTTTGGGATAGAAACGGCTTAGGCTTAGGCTTTGTGCTGATGCTAGCCAGGAATAATGAGTATTTATTTGGTTGTTGTTGTTGTTGTGAAAGCTGCTGAGGGCAAAGGTGTGTACAGACAGTTTTGTGTGGTGGTTAAAAGTTACCTGGATTACCTGGATTTCCAGGTAAACTTGTTTTAAAAAAAAAATCGTTGACTGATCAGTTCTTTCTGTACTGATCAGTTGCGATCAGATCAGATCAGATCATCTCTGTGAGCTAGGTAGGTAGGTGTCTCTTTGAATTGCTTGTTATTTTATTGCGGTTGTTGTTGTGATCTTGTCTTGTCGGATTTTGGGTTTTAGGGACTTTAGTTAGCCAAGAGGGCAGTAGTTTAATTTTAAGTGTGAAGTGGACAAGTCATTTGACTTGGAGTAGATGCATTTATTCATTTAATTAATTAATTATTTATTTATTTATGTTACATATAAGCAATAGAACATAGAACATAGTGAGATGTTTCGAATGAATGAAATAATAATAACGAAACGGGTGAAGAATTTTAGTTAAAAACGACAAATTTAGCAGCGGTATGTTTAGATTTTGGATGACTGGGACGTGGGGCGTGGGTAGTGCTGCCTGCTGAAATTATATTATAGAACTGGGTTAAGAGGGGGACGAATTATCATCAATTATTTACAACAACAAATTAACGTAGTATCTTAATTAATTAATTTTAGGATCAAAAAAATAGCGAACAGAAGATGAATAATAACAAAACAAAAATAACAATGAACAAAATGCATAGTCTATCGTTGCCTTGTATAATAATTCTCGTCTCTTCGTATGCAAGCCACTATCACAGTATAAGTACTTTAGGCCACAAGTAGTAGAAGTTATAGGTGGAAGCTTCAGATCAGATCAGATCAGATCAGAAAAATAAGAAATTTTATAGAAGCCAACTGATAAACAACCATAACAAGAGAATAGCAACACTGGCGAGTAGGTAACCGCGACGGTCTTTCTTATGGAAACGCCAAAAATAACGCAATTTTTCGGCACTCTTCAGATTCAGATTGTCGCAGATTCGGCTGCTGTTGCTGTTGCTGGTGGTGGTGGAGCTATTTTTTGTGGCGTTATAGTAGAGGATGGTTGGTGTCAAGTCGTGGTTTTGCATTGGCTCGTAGTGGAGTTCTTTGCGTGCACGTTCGATTGAGTAGGTGTTCGTGATTGCGGTCAGATTGATCTCGAGCCGAGTGAAGAGCGGTTCGATGCCTAGCCATAGGTACAAGTACTCGAACAGGACGGCCAGACAGATCATCAGCTGATAGGGAAGTTTGATGTAGGGAAGTGGCTTGCCGAGAGCTGAAATAGGTACGATAAATTACGACGACGATAGATAGCTGCGAAGTTGGATAGTCGTCTGAAGTTAGCAGCACTGACACTGACACTGACCTTGCATAAGGGGAAACCAAAACGAGAAGGCACCCACTGGTGGTCCACCATCGACAATATTATAGACTCGTCCAGCCGCACGCCCTTGCCGTAGAGCTTCTTCAGCTAAACGCATAGCCTGAAATTAATTCTAGGTTCTATTCTAGGTTCTGGACGCATAGTATGGCCGCCGAGGAAGACGAGTATTGTGGCGGGACGAGACGAGGCGAGACTATATTCTATGTAAGTATTTCATTGTTTCATTAAAATGTTTGAATGTTATTTACCATAGCACTGTTGCCAACACCACTGTATTGTGTTAGACATCCAGGAGACTTCTCGAATGAGGCCATTAGCAGACCGCGATTGCAGAATCCCTTAAGAGATAGTTGAGTTTTAGTTGGAAGGTTGGAAGGAGGTATTTTGATGTGAACGTGCATATTTATAAATAGTTCGATATTTGCACTTACGACGGCTCTTTCGACCGATCGCGGTTCGGCCGGTCCGTAGATACCACGATATCTGAGGGCACACGTACGTAACTGGTCACAATTGGCCGCGAGTACACTCTGCTCTGCGATCGCTTTCGAGGCACTGTAGTGGGAACAATACTGAAAATATTTAAAATAGGGTAGCTTAGCGGGTTCGCAATCGAGCGCGTTTGCTTGGCGCGAACGGAATTTTCGCGGTAGGAAGCGGTTCGCAAGAGCGAACAGAATTTTCGTGTTGGGAATCGGTTCGCAGGAGCGAACAGAATTTTCGCGCTGGGAATCGGTTCGGTTCGCCTCTGCGAACTAAAACAGCGGTATAACGTTTTGAGTTTTTTAGCAGAGAATCTCCTTTCTGGTAGTGAATAAAATGCAGACACAAGAGTGCGGAGAATCTTCTGATGAATAGAATAATACAGCAAGAAAAAATGGCTGATAAGTATGTGTAAATGATAGGAAATTTGATATAAAATAATAGTAGTGCTAAAATGAGGAGAGCAGTTAGTTCTCTAGATTGGTTCTAGTAAAAGTACTACTTTACTATTACTTTACTAAAGTAGTACTAGGTAATCTGAAAGGTTTGGCTTAGGCTGAAAGGTTTGGCTTACCTTAGAAGGATGAGGATAGGGCGTATCTTCGTCAGCGTCGTAGAGCTCTGTGTTCGCGAATATTACACCGACCGAGCTGGCGTAGACGAGACGTTTCACGCCGTTCACTCGGCAACGATCCATGACCAGCTGCGTGCCGTCCACGTTGATTCCGTAGACCTTCTCCTTGTCCAGCTCAAATTTGGATTCTTTTAGTTTAGTCACCACTTCAGAAATATCGATTGATCGATTTATCGATTGATCAATTCATTGTGATCTTG